CATTAAGTAGAAAACGGAGTGCTTTGAGACGAAAACTGTAACCACAGGTCTTCTGTCGCTATATTGTCTGCATTTCTTGTCGATTAAAAAAACACTCAGCATCCTTAATAATAGTGGAATGGTTTGCCAACTAGCTCAGTTTTTAAATTGACATCTGGAATGAGCAAATAACAACATATATTATTTTGATATTTCGACATTGACGCTCAATCCGGCCTTTTGTTATCAGTGACCACTACGAGTCAGAATATCTCGGTAAATGCATGAACGCCTGGAGGGAATGTCCAGATCGCCATAAGCGCTTTGTTGTGAAAACCTCCACCAGACGCGTAATTCGCAACAGTTGTACATGGGAGATCCTAAACGGCGAACGGAAATGATAACAAAAACTACTGGTGAGTGTTGAATATAGCAAATGATGTGGAGATAGTGAGGTTTGTGACACTCCGTGGAACTTGCTTCAACAGAGTCCGCAAAAGTACGGAACAAACAACACCAAGGTATACCACAGAAACCAAATTCCAACTGCATATGAAGTCGACGAAGAAACGTCCATGAATTCATGGAGTCAACGTCAATAGCCTTAACGACAGAATCCAACTATGGCATACTACAACATCAAAAAAGTGTCCAACATGACCATGAAAAACAGTGCAAATGGTGACAAACGATGAAAACATGCCAGTGTGATGTATGGATGCCAACACATGGCCGCGCACTGTACGCTGCGTGACGTCAAATACATTAGCATGCCAACGATATCCCTATCTAGGCCTTTGCATTCGCTAGATCATGCGTCTAATAGCCACTTTGAAATCAGTATGACGACTCTCGGAAATAACATCGTGATTTATCCAACGAAGGTCAGTGGTTAATGCGAGGATTTCAAAAGGCTAAGAAAATATTAATAAGGGCTTATCAAGTCTTGACATATAGCCAGCTATGCTTAACAGAAAACATTTTCCGTAGCATGGGTGCCGATAGCGCAGTGTTAAGCTGCGTGTCTGGGGAAGCCAGAAGTTGAGTTCGATTCCTCGCAGTGCCCGCCTTTTCTACCACGGTTACGGGCAGGCTACGTTATAAAACCTCAGCAGCTCAGTGCTTCGTAAAGTGCCAATGATGCACAGAGATTGTAAGAGAAACATATTTCTTAGGATTCTTGTTTTAAGAGTGCAAGCTGTCCCCTTCGTTTTTTAATGTTTTTTTAAAATTGTTTTTGAAGAAGCTCATTTAAGTTTCATGGCTTTCCCTGAACATCTTTACACGCATTCTACTTAATTTAATGTGTGTGGCTCGCGCAGGGACGGCCGCAGGGTCCGGTTTTGGAAGGGACTTCCAATGAAATTTGGCGATAATGCTAAGATGGCGATCCGCACAGCATTATGTGCGCCGCCTTGTGTTTACAGAAGTAACCACTGTTTCCGGTGAATAAAACAGTTGCACCATGTGTCTTTATTGCAATATGCCAAAAGAAGCATGGCAGTGGCGACTTCTGGGCTCGAAAAAGGGTGAGTTTCCGTACTGCGCGAAGAGCATTGCAGGTTGCCAATGCGGTTATATAAGGGATGCTTCTCGACATCTATGTGCAAAGCTTTGCATTTTCTGCCAAACCTTGCACGACCGACTGACATATACTATGGCAAAAGTGTGTCCAGCGCACGGGGTCGTGGTGTCTAATCTAGGTCAGCACTACGGTGCTTTCAGTGGATAGTGGAGGAGTATACACACACGTGTGAAACAGGAGGAAGGAAAACAACATCTTTTGAAACAGACTCCTCCAAGGAAGGAAGAAATGGGACTATGTCGCTAGTAACATGAAACACTAAAACGGTGTGTTGTATGCTATTTGCTTCCTCTGTGCGGCAAACGTCATTTTAAGAAGTAACGACATGTCACAGGTGAATCCAAGAACGACGAAAGATGGGTGAAGGGGTTATTGCAGCACACGTGACTGTGGTCGCCAACGGCTGTCGGTCAGCAGACGGGGGAGGGGGGGGGGGGGGATCTCAAAAGGCCATGCTCTAATTACTTGTCCCTACTCCTCCTTATTCTGAAAACTGGATTCGATACATATTCATACCATATACGTACATACGATACATATATGGTACATATTCGCGGACGATAAATACACGCTGCAGTGATTCAGAGGGATATCAGCATTTGGGCTGCCAGCTAATACCACTAAATAAGTCCCCGTTTCCTTTGCTCTGACACCATCTATGACTGCCTTTTGCGTTCATGCATTATTGCATGATGCGATAGTAACGCGTCATGGTATTCCCCCCCCCCCTTTCCAATGAACTCGATCAAAAATCGGGTGGGGACTTCTTGGTGTTCTCCCTTTTCTGTCTCCTGGATACCTCTATAAATCTTGAACCTTAAAATACGTTCCTGACAATTTTTTCAACATCAATAGCCATTAGTTCGCGTTAGTTGCGTCGAAATCGGTTAATAATCGCGCCAACAGTGTCAGGTTTAACCTATCCTACTCTCTATTTGGAGCCTGTCCACCCTATCAAAACTATTCTGGAGTTTTTTGATAAGTGTAGATCATGTCGGCCGAAATGAAACGTTGATTATTTTTTGATAATCGGTCAAGTAGTTCTTGAGATCTCGATGGAGTTAAATGAGTCCGTATAACGTATATTGGGTTAATATAAAGTCCCATGGTGTGTATTGTATATGCCTTAAATAAGAGGGCTAACATCAAATTCATAAGCTGGAAAGGCGATGGAGTTACTGGCATGAGTATAAATGCCTTTAAGGTAATGCTCGTTTTGCCCATAATGAAAGGTGTAACAACAGATGCTGCAAGATTTTGTAAGATTATAAGTTTTTTCATATTTTAGAAATTAAAAAATCGTCAGGTGAGGAAAACCAACAAGTCATACTGAATGTAAGCGCCAGTAAGTTACAAGTATTGTTTTTCAAGTTACGTCCAGCCCAGCATGGCTATGTTTCATGACGGGTTCTAACATGTCACAGGTGTTCCCCGTGTCAGTGACGGTGGGACCCTTGTGGAGATGCTGAGGGAGAGTGAGGGAGCAAACATCACGTTAACGTTGCCATGTCTTGACGAACCGCCTCATGCCTTATGCAAGCACACCTGGGAGTTCGGAGAGGGGCCAGGTCAAGCCGTCCGTCGCCCGACACACCGGCGGCAATGCGTACATTGCGAGCTGCGCCTTAGATCGGGGACAGCCGACTCCCTCGGGAGCGCTGAGAAGGGGGGGGGGGGCTGATGGCCGGGTACCGAGGCGAGCCGTAGAGACGTGGGGAGGGTGAGCGCGGTGCTTTTACTGATAATACAACGTCACCAAGCAAGTGTCTTTGACCACGGCTACATCTGCACTTCGAAATTTGCTTGAAATGACGCCACGAGCAATCGAAAGCCGAGGATTCCAACACCACGCCTGGAAGCGGAGGCCTTGAATTACCAGCGTGTGATCACCGTCCAATGGTGTCACACGTGTGACTGAGGCATGATAGTATTAAAAGACGTGAGATTCTTTCAAAGGGTTTTGTTTCGCGCTTTCATAGAATTCCTGTATATACCCCTTTCTTAAATGTCTGTGATATAGAACAACAAAAATAGGATCCTTATATTCCATTCATCACACAGTGCTCCAATTGCGCCCATGAAATCCTGTACGAGCCTCGAAAGATTACTCCCTCGGACTATTTGCGTTCCAGGAAGGACATTGCTTTTGTCATCGCCTATTGACAGGATAGCAGTACGAAACGTCCACCTTGTTCCTCGGTATATTTTTCTCATTATTCTAGCGATGTCTGTGTGTTTGATTGGGACTTCTGAGACATGTCTGACATCATTTTTTACCCATAGATCGGCAGCCACGGGACTATTAGGACCGAGGGCTCCGTAGTGCCTTGAAAGACGCTCGTATGGCATCGAAGGATATGAGAAGGATTGGTCGAATTGGCAACCTGGAGGACAATTTTGACTGCACCTCCCCGAAATATTACATGCAAACTTTAACAGCGCCGAAGTTAAGTTTTTACGCCTAAAGGTCAGGCGGACTGAGTAGCACAGCCGTCCGATCATACATAGCATAGCCCAACCCATCCGATATTTACACGTGAGCTACCTCCTAGAGTAGGGCGCGTCGCCAGAAAGGCGGCTGCTTAATGCCTGCGATCGACCGATGGCACCGGTAATTGCCGGTGATTGCCTGCCCACGGGAGTGACTTCATACCGGTGCGTAGGGCAGGCAGCAGCGGCGAGGCTCATGTATTGACCAGCGTTTTAGTGTTTGGTCTGCGGGGATTAACGACTGAGTGCGTGACTGGGTAGCACGGTCGACCACACTTGAGTGGTGTTATTATCTGTAGGGGCTGCACGGTGGAAAACGACGACCTAAAGCGTTATTCCGCAGGCGTTAATGTGTTATCACATTACGCCACCATGTTATTAAGTGGTGTTGTGTGCAAGGCTCGTAGACAACACGGTGCCCGAATTGGCAGCCAAAACACTTGGCACACCATTTACCTACGAAATAGGTCACAAGTAGTGGCCAAGGCGCTTTGGTAAACAAATGGGCGTTCATCCTTTGTGACGTGGAGAACACACCACAGACGAACACCCATTCACTGCACAGTTCGGTTCCGACCGTAGCTTCCAATATGACTGCTGGTCTCAAGTCGCAGACCAGAGACCCCAAAGTAGGTTTATGTGCAGCCGGGCTTTTATGTAGTTGCAGTTACCATATGGTTTTTAAATGCCGTGTGTTACACGCACATATGCTGTGCACATATCATTAACTACGACAACGCCCAGGTAATGCGCCCACATTCAACACTTCTTAAAACTCTATTTGGAGAACGACCAGCCTCTCATTCTTGGTTTTCTCTAGCGGTTACCGACGCCTATGGCTGTCGCTCATCTGGTCAGCTCGGACTGAATCCTTGCGGATCTGGTCGCAGTGCCAACTTGACCCAGGTCAATATACTGCCGCCCTGATGCAGGTCAATGGGTTCAGCTATATGTGACATGTTCTCCTGCAGCCCAAGCAGCACTCGGTCACCAGAACCAACAGAGCGGCGCCCATGCCGGCCAGCCAGACGTAGAAGGCGCCCACCAGCCGGTGGAGGTCCAGCGGAGCGACGCCGTGGCTCAGGGGTGCCGAGCGCGTGCAGCGGTTGGCAGCCACCTGGCCGAAGATGCGCTGGATGACGCCCTGGTAGCGCAGGCGCCGGATAGCCCTGTCGAACAGCTCGCTGTACTGGCTGTGGTGCGGGAACATGAGGCTGTAGAAGTCGCGGCGCAGCGCCTGCCGCGCGATCCGGATCGGGCAGAGCGCCGCCGACGGCTGCCCAGTGCGCGCCAGGTGATTGTCGGCCCTCATCAGCAGTGCGCGCTGGCTCTGGAAGAGCGAGCGCCCGCCGCGCACCAGGGCCGCCACGAACTCGGGAGTTTCGGTGGTGCGGAAGTGAGCGTGTACGCAGCCATCGCACGCCTGCATCTTGCGCCAGATGCGGCCGCGCGCCCCGCTGGTGGCGTTCTCGAAGATGTAGTAGTGGCTCTGGCCGAAGGTGACGTGGGGCTCGATAGGCGACGCCGCCAGCTCCTCCAGCGTCTCGATGGCCGCCGAGTAGCGGCCGATCGAGAGGAACGCTGTCAGGTTGCCCGCGTAGATCGACATCAGCGTTACCGTGCTCTGGAATGGAGCGCATCTGTGTGATCTCGTGTGTCTTGATAAATATTGCCACTTCATACAATTGTCATAGGCCGTTGTCACTGCAATCAAGCGGCAACTGCGTTTACTGACAGGGTGTCGCAGCATTGCCCCTGAGTAATGTTGTCACGTAGCAGTAGCCCGACACTAGGAACACACAACAGGAACACATGCTGTTGCAGAGATCAATCCACCTTTCCGCATCACTTCTAGCTTTCACGATGGGATGAAATCTTACGGTTTTACGGAAGGATTGATAGGAGAAATTAGCGCCATAATGGATTAGTTGTTCGGACTGTCGTTCTCTTATAGCGTGTTCTTTACACGATGTTTAGGAGAGCTTGTTCTCTGACCGTCGTCAGGCAACATTACTCAATAACTTACCAAATCAGAGCTGACGACGGCCGGAGAGGTACCTGGGAGAAACGCTAGGGGACCAAAAGGCGAGAACGATAGTCGGAACAATTATTCCATTCGTGAGATGAGAGCTATATTTTATGCTTGGCCTCACTGCCCTGTACCGTTGACAGCAATTTCCGCCTCAACCTACTGAGAACAAAACCAATTCATTAAATGAGTTTGTAAAATTCGGTCCATTCCATCCCGGCTGTCCAGAATGTAATCCACCCGCCAAGCTAGAAGTTTCAAGGCTTTTTAACCCAATCTAGTCTGGTCAAGCTTAGCAAAAAAAAAAAGAGAGAAGAAAAATCCGTCCCGATCCGTCCTCAAGCCTCTGATTCTGTTATAAACAAACATACCTGTGGCATCCAAGGGTAATCAATTCCTTCTGTAATAACAAATTTCACTTATGAATTCTGACTGGCTCAAAAAAGTTATCAATGGTCTAGCTAAAAAAAAAATTATGACTACTTGCAAGAACCAAATATCACACATTGATGAGCTTCATTGTTAACCCAGCCTGTTGCTTACTCCATTTGCAGGGGAGTACACCTTAGTGTATACATAGGACACAAGCTAGACACCGTGAGTGCTATATTTCTCGTTATGATCCTGAATTGCCAGGTACAGTATGGGTTTATTGGAAATGGAAATTTGGATTATTGGATCAATTTGGCTCCCCCTCCCCTACAGGTTTTTACAGAATAATTTCCAATCGGCGCGGAGTAGCTGCGCCAAACATTGCATAGCTGTAAATATTTGAATAGTGAACCTATTGATACTCAAAATTAGCTATGTCTTGATAGCTCGCTGACCTGTAGCATCAGTCAGACCATGGCTGTCAACGAAGGAAAATCGCAGGTAATCGTTTAATATTATGCGATAGCGGGGTGTTGGCGAGCCCATACATCTCTGAGATAGTTTCCCAAGCGACAAAACGACTGAATGTAGGATTACAACGAATTTCATTGACCTTGGTTCGGATATGAACAACAGACCGGGGCCAAAACCAGCCTGTTGTTTCGCCCTAAAGCTTTCTGTGCGGGATAGTTTCTGGTGTTCATTTCCATGATGTATCCATTTTGAACTGCACCCAATACATATCAATCTTTAAAGTGCTATCTACAGATATGTGTTAGTAGCATTGAAATCGGTTGATACACGTGACACCTGTCTCGGGTCACAAGTAAAAAGGCATAACACTTCGGTTGCTCCTCCCCAAGTTTTTCCTTATCAGGAAGTGGTGGAAATTTCTGTCGAAGGGATGTAGATCTTGTCGAGAAGAATCAAATGCAATGTTATGTCTCTTTGTTTATGCAATTGACATAGCAGCTCCTGAAATCTGCGGGTGTTGTGACGAACAGATCGGTCCCTCCCGCTCATAATTAGGTCAATGTCCTGTAGCTCTCGTGATTGGAGGGGGCGGAATAGATCGTTCGCTCCAGCACAGAGATCTGAGAGGAATGGGACGTAATATGCCGGTCCCTCCAGCTCCAAGTGAAGCTAAAGTCCCCGTAGCTCTCGAGATCTGAGAGCATTAGGACGGCTTGGACGGGCCTCTCCAGCCCGAAAGAAGGGTAGCGTCTTGTAGCTCTCAAGATTTGAGGGCACTAGGGCGGGAAAGATCGGTCGTCCCAGCCGGGAATGGGATTAATCCTCACAGGCTTGACAATTTTATTGGGCGATGGTCTTGACTTTGACGTTCTGACGCTACCAACCAAGCTCATAGGGACTGGAACTACACTGAGGTCAAAGCCTGTCATCGTTTGTACCAAATAGATCAGCATGGAGGCCTAAAAATAGATATATAGTCCATGTTGACGGTGTAATAGTCTGTATTTGGTGGGCAGCAATCCAGTCTCATAAAGCTCTTACTAAAACCAAACACATTAACATGAAAGCTTCAAAAGCTAGTTATATGGCCTACGTCGACAGTGCAATAGTCTGTAATTTCTTTGGTTACAATCTAGTCTCGATAAAACTTTTATAACCGGCCATCGAATATAGGCACCTGCTTTAGTCAGCCTATCCACTTCCGCTGTTCGCGAATAGTTAGATGCCGTTGAACATTCATTCCATCACAGCTGCTACAATGAAAAGCGCAGGTACGTCCACAACGTTTTCGTAAGGAGAGTTCCGACTTCTAAATGTCCTAACCGGAAACCTCACGAGCTGGGGAACAGAGAGGATGAACTACGAATCCATATGGTTCTTCCCGCGTCTCGGGGCCTTCCGATGGCACGGTGCCTTAAAGCTCCGAAGCGAGCTGATTTGTATCAGGTGAGGTGTTGCCATGCGGACGTCGACATCGCCGTTTGCCAGGCTCCAAATGAGGGACTGAGAAACAAAGGGCTGTGGGCTGACGGGCGCGGCAATGGGTCAGTCTCCTATCACGTGACCCTTTCCGCTTCTCTGTAAAATTGGATACCTCTAATGACACTTGTCTATACATGCTATATGGAAAGACAAGCTCGCCCACGGCGTATATCACCATTGTGACAGATAATACCATTTACTACTCACGTAGCCTCACACTTTTTCGCCGCCTTATTAGGCATCTGTCTTTGGCTATCCTAGGTTTGGGGTAATACCTGTTTTCTAATTAAAGCAACATACGAAATAGGTTCAGTAACTCCCCAGATGTCAGGGTGGAGGTAGGGTAAATCCGTGCGGAATGGGGCAACGTGAAGGTCACCCGGAACAGGCCTGACACGCCTCCCTGGTCGACCAGCCACAGCACGACAGCGGCGGCCACGCACCATGTAGACGAACATCATGAGCACCACGCACCAAGTAGATGAACATCATGAGCACCACGCACCATGTAGATGAACATCATGAGCAGCCTGGTGGCCGGCTGCGCGCTGGTCACGTCGTCGCCCTGTCCGAGGAACATGCGGAGCGACTGCTGTACGTAGGCTGTGACGGAGGGCACGCGCTGCCGGTCGGCGCGGGCGGCGCGGGCAGAGCGACCGACCGAGCGGCACCCGGGCGGGCGACTGCGTCCCGCGCCGCCCGCCAACTCGGCTACCCGCAGAATAGCCGCGTACAGCAGCACGTACAGCGCCGAAAGCCCCCACACCTCCGGCGTGAAAACGCCGAACACGAGGAAGTCCGAGTGCCAGTGGTCCGGTTGGGCGGTGCCGATGGAGGTGGTGTCGCTCCAGAACCACTCGCCCATGTAGACGGCTGAGCTCCGTTTGACGTCGACGGTGCAGGTGCCGGCGCCGAGGTCGCCGCGGCCGGTGATCAGCCAGGAGGGCCGGCCGTTCAGCGAGCCGTCCAGCTGTCAACAGACGAGCTACCATGATGGAACACAGATAGTGCGGCTGAGAAGTATCGAGCGAATGAGACGACAGAGCGTCGTTAACACTGAGCGTCGTTATGTTGGCACACCGAGGAGTACTGAAAAAGTGTACAGAGCGCCGAGGGGGTACGGACGGAGCCGATCGGGAGGATCGAACGAGGGGATGTCGCTCTGTCGGTAGGAGAGGGAGTTTGAGGGTGTACAGAGCAAATGACAATGCGGGGACAGCACGTCCGGTCGCTAAGGGAGCATCGCCCTGCTGGTGCACCAGCCATCAGCTCGGGAAAATATTCAGAGCTCGTGCACACATTCAAGAACTAGCACTTGCATGGCAATTTTCGAGCCTCCTGAGCCTCAGTCTAGCTCCGAGCCCTCGGGGCCTGAGTCCTAGTCTAAGCTCGCGTCTGTGCCCTTAAGCCTGAACTTTAACTCCAGTTGTCCGTTGCAGGATCGCACGCGACAGTGTCATTAGATTCTCGAAGGAAAAGCTTGCCAATGATAAAAATCACAGCAGATGTGTCTCAGACACCCCAACCCATCAGTCCTGCCCACCCACCAGCCTCCGCAAACCTGACCGCCTCGGCGGGATCTGGGCTGTGGGAAGACTCTGAGCTCTGAGAACACTGCTTTTGGCTTCCTTGCTTGTCGCCCGCTGGGCGCTGAACTACAGTTTCTGGCCCCCTCTGTCGCCGCCGGGCCTCGGGTTCGGGCCGGCGTCCCCTGGGCCTGCCCTGAAGGGATAGGCCTCGTGGGCTTGCGCAGCCGGGCTCCAGCTTCGAGCCTGGGGATCGACCAGTCGCCTCAGCAGAACCGTAAGTCTTTCCTATCGGATCTCGTGCCCGGACCCACCGGACACAAGCAGTGCCTGCTCCCTGACGTCTCCTCTCCGGCCTTTTGCGATGGTCATCCTCTGGACGCCCGGCCTAAACAGCGGCTGCCTCTGCCTCCATCGGGCTGCAAGCATGGCCAGCTCCGCCTGGGGCAGAGTCCAGGCGGAGACCCTGCGGTCTTGCATCGTTAGGTCACCACCTCGCGCTACAAAAACAGTCAGCCCCTGTCCTTCTCTGGGCCGCCACAACCCTGGCAGGTAGTTGAGACTGCAGTGGCATTCACACGTTCACTGTCTTGACCAACCGCTGGGAGGCTGTCTCTGACGGGGTCTCTTCCTCGCGGCAGCCGCTCCCCGCTTGCTCAGTCGGCGCCGTCTCCTGGCAAGGCTGCCCTGGCGTCTCTTTGACGGTGGCTTCGGCTACGACTCTACCAGAGCCTCCACCGTCTCCCAGTCCGGGCTCAGTTCGCACTGCCACCCAGAGTGATCGGTGTCTCGGTTTGCTGGGCCGATGTTGACACCCAGATGGCCCGAGCCGTGACCTCTTTCCCGCTTTTAACCCATTTTAACGACAAATACCACTCCTGGGCTTCTTGCCACCCTCTCTTACACACAACTCAAGGGGAGTGTTCCACATTTCAAGACTCCTAATCCTACTCCAGGAAGGTTAATCCAAACTTGTCATCTATGTCGCGAATCAAAACTCGGAAGCCATGGGCATGTCGCCTTGTTTTTAGTATCTGTTAGTCATCGCTCACCTGTAATCTGCCACAGCCAGATTTCCTTATCAGCCGCGGCTTGAAATTTAGATTGTCGGCGAGCATGTTCAGAGTCTGTCCAAGGTAGCCACATAGCTGCGTCCGGTTGTCGGGGGCGATGTAGGCTGCTATGACGGGGGAGGTGCAGTGGCCAACCAGCTTCTTCCTCAGGGGAGCCAGGACGCGCAGGGTGCGGCCGCCCAGCTGCCTGAGCTTCCAGTCGGGCGGTGGCGTCCCTGGCGTCCAGGGCACCAGCCGCACGCCGCCCCGGCCTGGTGAGGTGGCCGCCAGGCGTGCGCACGAGTCGTTGGCGCAGCTAACGAGCATCGCCCGCTCGTTTTCGCGCAGCACCGCCTCGAGCGCCGGCTGCAGCAGGCGCGTTCTGCCGCGCACGGCCAGCAGCCAGCTGAGCAGACGTGAGCGGGCGCCCGGCTGCTGGCCCAGCCGTCGGTACGTGGCCGTCACATGGCCCAGCGAGCCGGCCAGCAGCACAGTGAGCCGGGTGGCGGGCGGGAAGCGGGGTGGGCTGGTCAGCACGGGCACGTCCTGCTGCCAGAAGGCGCCCCGGAGGCGGCGCTGTAGGTCGTCAGGGGCGACCTCGGACAGAGAGACGACGCGGGGCAGGTCGGCCGCCGACAGCGTCTCCGTGGTCAGGGCCACCAGGCGACCGTCGTCTGAGAAACATAGACTGATGGTTCATACGCAACACACATTAAGCTTAATTTTAGAAAAGCAAAAGGCACTGTCTTTTCAGAGATTTAGAAGAATGGAAAAATGAATGGATTTTTGAGAAAACGTAGGACCCGCAGCTTCTACTAAATGGTATAGGGACGATGGGCAAAGTGGCTATTAGGGCAAAGCTGAAAATCGCGACTGTGATAAAACACGAGGCCGGCGATAATACCAGCCAATAGGTTTCAAAACTCTAAAACGAACATGTTGAACATGTTAGAACATGTTGGCTGTAAACCGCAAGGCTTGAAGCCAGTTGCAAAAGGTAGAGATGGAGGAAAGAAGATATTCGATGGGGTTTCCGGACAGAAAGCCAATTTGAAAAAGTCGCATGAAAAGAGCTCAATGGAAACGAAACAAGTCGAGCGAAAAGAGTGGACAGGGATACAACTCGGACGAAAGGGGTTGACAGGGATAAAAGTCGAATGGGAAAGGTAGAATAGGAAAAAATTCGAAGAGTAGAGAGTAAAAAGAGATAAGAGTTGACAAGTATAAGGGTAGGAAAAGGGTAAAGCTGACAGGTATAAAAGTCCAAAGGGCAGGAGTAGAAGGGCAACGTTTCAAAGGGAATCAGAGTAGACAGCAATTAAAGCCGGATCGGAAAAAATCAAAGGACAAAAAGCCGGCAGGGTTAAGACTGGGTAATACAAGATAGCTATTGATAGCGACAACATTCGAATCGAAAAAGTCAAAATGGTTAAAAGAATACATGACAGAAATTGGAGGACACTTAAGCAAAGTGAGCCAAAACATCAGTGGGAACTATGGACAAGGCCCTAGTGTTTTAAAAGAATGCTGAGAACCAGGAAACCAGTGTCTGGTGGGAGAGAAAAGCCGATGAGTACCGGAAACCAGTTTGTAGTATTTGCTAAGAAAACATTTGGAGCCAGAAAGCAATGTTTGTTTGTGGACAAACCTGTGAGAGCCAGGAAATCGGGAGCTATACTTACAAAACTAGTAATAGGATCCAGGGGCGAGTATCGTGAAATAAAACGCAGATGCCAAGGTTTCAAGATCTGGAAAAGCAAGAACCAGGAATCAGGAAGGGGAGCCAGGCACGTGTCCGTCTAGGACCAGATTTTTTTTTTAATCGCGACGGACGTCACCGCTGTACACCACCTCCTGCTGTGGCCCACGTGCCGCTCGCGAGCGTCCAGAAAACATAAGTTGTTAACTGTCTTTGTGAGGATTATTGTGCATACAGATAAGATAGCAGTGTTAGCCTTATTCTCCGCAGAATACCCAGGAGAATGGAAGGAAAGATATATTGATATTTCGGTTGTATGCTTTTATTGAAAACAGCATAAGTAATATGCTTCGATAAATGCATGGGGCCGAAATATCAACGTATCTATATGCCCATTCTTCCGCTTTTTCTACGAGGAACAAGGCTATTGAAACTGTCCCAGAAACTAGCTAGAGAGGGAATTTTTATGGGCATGGATACAGGCTAAAAAGGCATCCATAGTAGCTCATCTAGCTAATAGGTTTAAGGTGCATTCCGCATGGTTTGGTAGTGAAGGTCTGAACAGTGTGTTACTGATGGGAACTTTGCCGGGTGTTCCGTAGGCGAGCTGAAATAAGAGGACCCACGAATACGGGGTAGCGAAATCAATTACATCCACGGGCGCATCCGAGTCCAATAGGCCCCTTCCATGACAAGCGTGAAATGATTAACCCGCGCCCGTCCGAGGGTCTGAGACAACCGCACTCGGCCGGGGAAGTTAACTTCCCTCTGACATCTCTAACTTCAAGACGCCGTATGAAAAAAAGAGATATATCGCTTTGAATGTTTCGTCAAAGCTGGAAGAACGCACTTAAAATATTTGACCGTGGGTGGAATTTGAGGTCACCAGAGGTCACGAAACGTACAAAATGGTCGATGCATGCAGTTAAAGCCTATGTTAACATGGCAATACGGATATTGAGGGTACAGAAATAAGCGTTAAGACTGTGGAGAATTCATTACGACCATTTGTGCTCCCCATATGGATCAGGTCAGATCAGGTCATTGTTTTAAATTGGTTTGCCAGTGGTCTACAAGAATGATACTTTTCTTCACAATGTGCTGCCGGCTAAGTTTATTTCACTAGGTACAACTGTGGGAAAAATTACTCCCGGCACAAAAATACCAAAAATTGCCACGGAAATTATGCCTCACATCAAGATGAGACAGTTTTGAAAGGCAAGTGTGGGACTGAGCAGTGAAAACTTTGCGGTCTTTCCAAAAATATGTTTGTCCCCCCCCCCGATTTGGCAGTTTTTCATAAACTAGGGAGCTGGAGGCCTCAAATAAACAGGGACTAGGTGCAAAACCTGATTAAAATACCTATTTAAGACAAAAAGGCAAAGACTTAAAGACAGTCGGCCAACAAAGAGTCACAAGGGCCCATCGAAGCTGGTCTACCTCAGGTTCTGTACACATCCTCGAAGCTTGTCACCTGGCCTGCATAGATCTAGCTATATCCAAGCGGTTTTTGAATGTTACTGGAGAGGGACTTCCCACAATTTTGTTTGTCAGCCCATTCCCGTTTGATAGGTAGCCATGCTTAATCAGGAACGAAGCAGCAATGGCATCAATGGCACTTGATAATCATTCTCACCTCCTGTCGTTCCCTTCCCTGAGGAGTGTTATCAGCCACCAGCACCGAATCTACAGGAGTCAGCAGCCTACGGTACTACCACCGAATCTACAGGAGTCAGCAGCCTTTTCTGCTGTTTGCTGTGTCTTGAAAAGGCAGTCTGAATAATGGCAGATCAATTTCTGCCTTGATTTGGTCATCTCGCCGACTTCTCTTGAACTGTCAATCACTGAACTTAACGAGGTCCAAAACTTAAAACGTAAGTAAGCATTCATTAAACTGCAACGCGAATGCCCCTTGTGAAGCCGCAGTGCATTGAGTCACCTGCAACCCCACATATCTTAGTCGCATCGCAACGATTGAAAGGAGCCCTTGTGACCAGACGATTCGCCATATTTAGATCTTTTTAAACATTTTCTGCTGTCTGGTACCAATCACCGAAGCGAGCAATCAGCTTAAAAGTCGCAGGATGTTTTTGTCGCCAGGCTGGTATAAAGCCTAAGAAAAGTACTATGGTGCCGTAGAGCACGGTAAAGGGTCTTTGTGGCAAGGCTTGCTGATGTTAACCGAAACATATTGCAATTGAAGCCCAATGTAAGGCTTTGCAATGCGTACTGCAATATTTTGCCGTGGCCGCCATCAAACGCTAGGTCAAAAGCATTTTTGGCACCCAGGGTCGCGTGAAAATAGGCCTTTTTGTCGCCGATCTTATCCACCAAGTCGGCATTTTTTACCATTTATGCATCGTCGGATGCTCTTGAATCCTCAAAAGAACTGGATGGTCTTGGTTATCAGCCATGCATGCGTCCCGGCCCGACTTATCTCTGTTAAATTCCTTTGGTTTGAACTGGGTGTTCTGACTAAGCGACGGATTGGGCTTGAATCAATCAAATTACTACCAAAATCATTACTGCAATGAACATGAATCGAATCTGGGTAAACCTTGCAATAAAAAACATCCTCAGTATTTAAGATGCTGGCGACATCCAAACCCTGGAATTTTATCAGTTGTACAGTATGTATAGATGATCGGCGCCACAGTGCGTTTAGAAAAATATCCCGGGACTCTGTTCAGGCGTGTGGGAAATATTTACCTTCATGAGAAATTGGAAACATTTTTAAAAAAAATTGATATTCCGACCAGTTTGCTTATATTCAACGTGATTTTCAGGATAATATCTACCTCTTCTTCAGCCTTGTTCAGTTAATGATATCCTCGAAAACGGATTCAGGCACGCACCAACGCGCACGCTAAGAAGAACATGACAAGTCACCTGCAATCAGCATACATATGCCTCTGAGGTAACGAAAGTAGAATGACGTATTTTTCATCTGAGCCGCATTTCTTTTTAGAATTTACGGCTTAAAGGAAAAAAAACTGTTGTGTTTTTTGGTTCGATAAACGCGAAAAATTCATTTTTGCGTTTCTTGTCGTGTCGTGTCGAAGTTATGAGTGCATTGCAAGTGTTCTTGGGCTGCGTTTTGCACTTTTCATCTGCGGCTTAAATGACACACCGGTCATTCTACTTTCGTTATCTCAGAGAGATACGTATGTTAATTGCGTGTGCCTTGTAATTTTTTTTCTAAATACGTGCCTACACCCGTGTTCCATAATATCATTGCCTCACCTAAGTTGAGAAGGGGTAGGTATTATGCTAAAAGCTCCCGTTGAAACCAAAAAAGCAGGCTGGAATATTACTATTTTTACAGCAACAAAGTCCCAGCTCAGTAATATTTCCAAGCATTGGAAACCTCGGTTCATGTAGGTATTGTAAACTTTTGAGGTGTATAAGCCTCAGTAAATATAGTAGCTACCAATGCATGTGAAAGCTTTTCTACTCCTCTCCCTCAAAAAACTTTAACACATGTCAATATTTTCTCGTCCAGTTAGGGAGTTCAGGTCCATGCCCCCTCTCTGTCTTCTGCTGCGAAGTGTGTCAAACCCAGGGATTTCCTGGGTTTCCAAAGGCAGATTTCCTGTATATTGATGGTAGGATTGGCTATTTTCCCGTGCCCCCCCCCCCCCCCCGCCCCACACGCACACAACTTAATCTGTAAAACTGCATCGGATTACCTGCATCATCTGTTCTGCTATAAATTCCGAGCCTTTTGAATGTGAGAATTTCTAAGATCAGAGCCCATGATAAGCGGTGCTTGTTGTGTGAGTCCTGACCTGCATCATCTGATCGTGTAGTTACGGGTCAACCGCAGAATTTTGAGGCGACATTTGTACGTGCAGCAATGCTCGGCACTGTCAGTCTTGTCATCTGAGGTCACCTGGCCTTAAGTGCAACCGCTGCCACCGGCCTCATGCCATACCTAACCGACTGAGCTGCCAGGACGGACTGGACCCTTGGCTGGGCCCCGAACAGGGCCCTTGACATCAGCTATGATGTATTTTGATACGTCTTTATATTTTCCTTCGTCATGCAGCGTGACCATCTAGATGTTGTCACTTATATAAAAAAGACGTCGTTCTTTGACAGCATGGTGGCTTGTTATGATTAGCTTTTATAAAAGGTTGATTAAGCTAATTAACTACAAGAGCCAAATCAAATTGGATTCAGAACAGCTTCAGAAGCTAAGGCTTCAAAAATCAACCTTGATTCACTGAAAAGGTGAGTTATTCTTGATTCAATTGTTAATCTAAATCAAATCCAGCACAAAACCACGGAGCTGGTGTCTCGTATACAGGAACTGCCGCACCTGTATGGTAGGTCGTATTTGCAGTAAGTCTTATCGTCCTTGGGTGTCGATGGTCAAAATTTGTATATTTGCTTGATGTCGGAAGTGCTCTTTGGAATCTGGAGCTGTTTCTGAAGACTGCCCAAACGTTGTTTAGGGCATACTTTTAAGTGGAAAAGTCTGCTCTAGACAACACGGTTTCTCTATTTACTAAATACGCTCCTTAATGCGTCACTGTTTAATATTGTTGGGCAACGTTTTGTATGACGTTGATGAACACACACACACACACACACACACACACCCACACCACACACACCCACACACACACACACACACACACACACACACCCACACACCCCACACACACCCCACACACCACACACGCACCTCTCTCTATCTCTTCTCTCTCTCTCTATCTCTCTCTCTCTCCTCCTCGCTCTTCTCTCTCTCCTCTCTCTCCCTCTCTCTCTCTTCTCTATCTCTGTCTCTCTCTCTCTCTCTCTCCCTCTCTCTCTCTCTCTCTCTCTTCTCTCTCTCTCTCTCTCTCTCTGTCTCTCTCTCTCTCCCTCTCTACTCTCTCTCTCTCTCTCTCTATCTCTATCTATATATATATTGTTGGGGCAACGGTTGGACCCTTGGCTGGGTATATATATATATATCTATATATATCTATCTATATATATATATGTGTGTTGTATCTCTATATATATATATATATATATATATATATATATATATATATGTGTGTGTATATGTACCTGTATACCGTTGTGTTTTTTTAGCGCAAAACATAATTCGTGTTACAATCTTTCACATCTTGCACAAAATTGATTGAGAGCCAAATGACAGCCGTTTTATCTGGATCTGGAAATCGTGCTCACGACGCCAGATATAAACCTCTCGACCATATGTTGCTTAGCTTAAAGGCCGTGCGACCAGTAGAGCGGCAGAATTTGGATGACGCTGTTATGACGTCATAGGCGGCTGCGCGACTTTGAAATGGTTACCCGGAATATCATGCACATTTTCGCGGGCGCGTAGCTACGAATCTACAGGTCCTTGTGGGCACTACGTAATTCAATACTCTGCAAGCGTATCTTCTGCTGCAAGCATATATTTGGAATTGGTGTGCAGGACACAGAATGTTGATGCGTAGCAGGCGGCAATGAGAAACATTCTGGACAGCACAAGGCAGC